CCAGGTGACTGCAGGCTGCCCCTGGAGACAGTCAAATCTCATCTGGAGAAGGCCCTCAGTGATCTGGGGTAGTCAGCACTGCTTTGAGTAGGGTTTGAGCAGAATCCCCAGAGGTCTCTTCCACCATAAATTATCCTATGATCCCATCTATATCCATATTCACAAACACTTGTGTGCAGGCACACACCCCAGATGACCCCACGGAGGTGGGAATGAGGAGCCTCACTCAGGAGGATGGTGCCTTTGCAAAGACCAAGGTCTGTGTAGGCTGATGTGCAGGTACAGGTGAGCCCACAAGCACAGTTCAGCGAGATCACCAGGGAAGACCCAGCTCTGGGAGGCAAAAGTCAAAGTTTATCCTGCAAGGAGATGCCAGGGTCTGGCTGTGCAAAGGGCAGCAATTTCTCTGGAGAAAGGAAGACCCCTTGTGCACAAGACAGAGCTTGCATGTGTCCACCTGGTCAGCACGTGGGAACGGGTGCTGATCTTTGATTTCACCGTTCTTCCAATTCCACAGGGAACAGGAGGCACTGTCTGCCTTGGCAGCTTGCTCTTCAATGTAGGCATTTCACTGGGCAGCTGCTTTGCCTCTCTGAGACTTCTCAGCCCCTCAAGCCAAACCCTCAACAGCACAAGTATTTTCAATTCCCTCTGCACTGAACAGGCACTTCTGCTGCTTCTTGCCCAGGGGCTGCTTTAGCCCAGCACCTTCATGGCCTGGTGCTGCCATTTCCATGAGATAGCCTTGGCATGCTCTCTGTATTTCTGATAATGCTGCATGGCTCTCAGGAACTTGCTGGTATTGTCTATCAAACCTGCAGGATGGACATGGGAAAAACTTCACCCTGCCCTGGTCAAGGCTTCAAGCTGCAAAGATTAACAAGTGATGCCCAGCTTCAAAACTCAGCCAAACATTTAGACCACTTGAAACTTTCAGAAATACTGGTCCAAGCTGGCTTTACATCAGCATTGCACAAATGAGAGGGGAGGGAAGAATGAGATGCCCTCTCCACCAAAGTCCCTCCAGTCACCTGTGCTCCCTCCTACCACTACAGGCTGTGGATCCTGGCAGATGGCCCAGGTGAGCCCTTGCTCCTGGCAGCACAGGACATAGCCTACCCACAGGGATGTCCTCTGCTCGAGCTGTGCTGGGTCTCTGCACTAATGCTGGTGCCCAACCACCTGAATTAGTGCTGCAGCTTCTCAACCCCTGGTGCATTCCCAGAGCCTCTGTCTGCTCTCATGCTGCTGCTCTCTGTAATTTTCCATTCCTGTGTCCCTGCATCCATGAGTTCTCCCTATGATGTAGCCACATTTCAGTACCCTCATCACTGCTCCTAAACTGCCCGTATTCCCAGCTTGGATCAATACCAATTTCTGCCACTTACTTGCCTACCTTTCAGCAGGCCTTTCTTTGTTCTGCATAGAAATAAAACTGTAACTGTACCTTGCCAAAAGAATTACTTTTTTAAACCTCCCCCCCTCCACTTCCTCCCTCTATTCTTCTTCCTCTTCTTCTTCAGGAGCAATTTTATGTAATTTGCAACTGTCTGGCTGCAAATGAAAAGAGACATAAAGCGTTTCTGCGAAATATTGAAAAGCTGGATGCTTTTCCCTCAAATTTCACTTAGCAAGAGGCTTTAACTTGCTGTGTGATCACTGTGTGTCATTAATAACCTCTCCAATTCCTTTCAGAACTCAGCAAAGTGAAGGCACAATCACGAATCAAAGGCATGGGTTACTGAGATATAATATCATTTCACTGAGGCAGGGAGGAGTGGGGAGAAGGTGAAACACAGCACTGCTGGGCTGGCTGGCAGCTGAAAAGGACACTGGATTTAGGAAAAAGCCTTCAAGGCCTGATTTGAACAATTCACCAGCTCAGGGGGCAGCACAGGTGTGTTAGATAATACAATATGCAGGTGTACAGGTGAGACTGGTTGAGTCACCATCAGATGTATGGATGTGGCACTTAAGGACATGGTTTAGTGCACTTGGCAGTGCTGGGTTAATAGTTGGATTCAGTGATCTCAGAGGTCTTTCCCAACCTGATGATTCTATGACAGTCTTGTTGCTTTACAGCCTGAGCACACTGGCCCATATAAAAGAATGTAAAAGCCAAAATTCTGTCTACGTCAGAAAAAGATACTGAGCCTTACTGTCAAAAAAATATTAGAGTTTAAATTCCATTTAGTTACCATACATCCAACAGCACCCAATTCAGAAACAAAAGAGAATTTTGACCTCACACAAGAACTTGCCCCAAATGCCACAAGAATAAATACAGACCACAGTGATTCCTTCCTACTGACTTATGTGGAAAACCTAAAATATAACTATATATAAAAGCTTAAGTAAGCTACACTGCACTCGTGGCCCTGCAGGTGGGCTGACATTGCTGACATCAGACCTGGAAGACCTCAGCAACACCTCTGTGGGCCCAGACTGACCCAGTGACAGCCTGGAAGAGAGCCCAGTCACAGCCTAAGAGTATCTCAGAAACCATAGCAAATCCAGAGTTTCAAACTCTGTCCTTACCAAATCCTCAGTCTAGACCAAGAAAGTCATTTGTCTCTATTGAGGTTCATGAACTGTTGAGTTCAACCACAGCTCTCTGCATTGAGACCAACAAAGGAAGGTACTTTGGTTCTTGTGGCAGCTGCAATTGCTTGGTGGTACAACAGCAAGTGTAGGATCAGCACAAGATCCTTCCTCTGCCAATTTGATCCCTTGCTGTCTGTAAACCTGCTGAGGCTTGGCCTTGCCTTCAGGTGACAGTTTGTGTCACCCCACACTTCATCAGCCTTCAGCTTTCTTTCTTCTCCTGCTATGTGCAATACAGAGAAAGGGTATGGGTAAAATGCACAAGAAATCAGTTGTTTATCAGCCCATTGACTGAAATTTCAGTGGTGTGATCAGTACATTCTGTGCTCTGCCCTGTGCTGGGGCCCTGGTTAAACTCCTGGGGATAGGCTTTGCCCCAGAGATCACCAGAAGATGACCCAGATGTGAAATGACCCAGAGATTAAATTTTATGTCCTTGTTCTGAGAACAGGGAAGCGATTGCCTGGCCCTCCTGTCTGATTCATTTCCAAAGTGATGCCTGTGATCAGCTGGGCCACAAGGACAGGTGATGCTACACAGACACCAGCAAACCATGGCTGAAAGCTCCCTCAGCTCACCCAGCCCATGTCCATGCTAAGTAACCATCTCTAAATGACCAAAGAGAGAGAGAATCCTGCCTTCTCGGTCACCGAGGGACTGAACAAAAGAGAAACTAAATGTGATGAAGTGGTGTATTGGCAGCCTGAAAATAGACAGCTCCAAATGCAGCACAGCTCATCTTCATCCTAATCCTGAAACATAATTACACCACACTGCTCATTAACTGTCTCCAGACAAGTATGTTCAAAAGTACTCACCTACCACAGACTTCTTACTGTTCCCAGGCAGTGTCTTACACCTCCCTTAACATAAAAAGCCTTTAGATCACCACATCATAGATAAATTGCTGCTTTAAACATTGCTCCATGCAGCTCTCTACAACCCCTGAGAGCACAGACAGTAGAGAACATTGTGAAACATGCAACAAATCCCTGATGTAGAACTGTAGCAAAACTGAGATTGCCTTGAATTCACCAAGCCTCACATGAATAATTTTTTACAGACACGTTTGACTTCCCCCCTGCATTAACAGCACTGTACCATGACTCCTTTCAACTGCTCCTCCATCCTTTGACTTGTTCTTATAAACACTGTCAGCTCTGCCCTGGACCAACACATGAGGTTACAGTGCTTCAGTTCAAAAATCCAACCGTTTCCCATCACACAAAAATAACTCAGGCAGATTTGTGCTGGTTATCTGTACTCTTCCCCCTGGCTGTTCTGAGTTAAGGATCCTGTTAAGTGGTAATTAAGTCACATGCATTTTTCAGCACTCAGATACCAGCACAGGCCCATGCAAAAAAAGCACAGGTAAACAAACACAGAAAATGATGTGTATGTGTGTGTGGAGGTCTTGAGGGCAGCTGGGAGAGTTGAGGGAAACTCATTGGACCTGTATGGGTTAAAGAGGAAATGTTATGGTTAAGAATTCCTAACCACCCTCCAGAGACCCCTGGTTTACATTAATTGTTCTGTTGCCTTGAGCACTCAGGGCCTCCTGTGAGCTTCTATCTATAAGTACCCAACTCCTCCTCCTACTCACCTCCAAATGAATCCTTTCAATGTGCTGGATCAACCCCCTCAGTACAGCAAGGGAACTGCCCAGTCAAAGCTCTTAAATCATACCAAAATGGGAAGGGCAACAATCCAGAACTTCTTTCAGCTCTCCAGCTGGTCCCAGGGAGGCAGAGGACTGCCAGGCAAGGAGGGACCTGTTCCACAATGCCCAGCCTCCCTCAAATTCCACTGAACTCTGCTCCCAAGACCAGCTATGGAGTGAGCAAGACCCAGGAACAGACCAGCAATCCTCCTCTGACCTAAATAACCCATTTATCCTCCAAACAATAGCATGTGGCAAGTGTATTTTTTTATTTTTGAGAGGCTGATCCAATTCAGCCACTGCATCAGAGCTCTGTCCAGGCACCCTGCAGGGCAATGACAGAGTAGAGCTGGATGCACCAGGAGGTTCTACACACCTGGAAAAAGGCTCTGGTATCTTATCTCGTGTGAGTTTTTCAGCAATACCCACTGTGCACCCACACACTTCACCCCAAAGCCCACAACTCCCTAGTGACAAGGAAAGCTGAAGGTGTCCTGCCACACCACAGAGAGCAAAGAGCAGCACAGAAACAGGCTTGGCCAGAGAAAAAAAACAGCAGCTCTGAAGAACAGTGCTGTGCTCCCACTCCCATATCCCTGCTCTAACCCCTGAAACACCCTCCTCTTCCACAAGCAGGAAAATTGATCTGAGCCACCTCTCGCCCTCGCTCCCTCCCCTGAAAATTCCCCATCATCCTGCCCACGGCATCAACTCCAGACAATTCACTGGGACTTACCCCTGGCAAAGTCTTCTGTTCATGCAGTGCTGTCTGGGCTTTGATGGCAGAGTCTCTGGCACAGTATGTGAGGAATGCACAACCTGCAGCAGATACAGCGAGTGTCAAGTTAGACAGGCAATTGCAGATGAACATCAACACAAATGTTACATAATTTGGATGTGTCTAAAGCTCCGTGGAAAAAAAAAAAAAAGACAAAGAAACAACGTTAAAGGACTTGCAGACCACATCTAAAATCTATTAAGAGCTGAAAAAGGGTCCCAGTGAATCAACAGGGCTTGACACAGGTGTTGAACAAGGTGAAACACAATGGGAGAGCAAAAGGAAAGCTGATCTTGTTTGTGGCAGAAACAGTCCCAAATACAAGGATCAGGAGAAAGGCAAGGAGCAGCATGATTACCGACTAAAGAAAGAAAAGAAGCAAGGAAAGGAGAAAAGTATCTGTAATTTTAGGCTTATAGAAAAGCTCCGTGATCCAGATTCACAAATCAGGGAAAGCTCTAGCAGGAGAGGCCTGGCCTTGTGTGCTGTATGATGCACACAAACACACACCAACGTACATACACACAACAAGGGCAACACAGAGCCCAGCAGAGCAGCGTGCATTCTGCAAGGGCCAATTTAAGAAGCCAGCTAAAAAGCATAGAGAAAAGGCCAGATCCTGACATTCTTAGTCAAGATATGAGTCAACATCTCAGATGAGTGCTGGAGCCAAGGGAGGAGGGGAGGAGTTGTAGCCCCTCCAGGAAGAAGAGGGATCATCTTTGGGTGCTCTGATGCTAAGAATAAGCAAAGGCAAAATCTGGCTGGTTATCAAGAAACATTTCCTAGCAGAATGAGATTTAGACTGTGGAATGATCTCCCCAGGGAAGTGCCTGGAGCTCCGTCACTTGAGTTGTTTCAGATGAGGGTAGGCAAATCACTGGAGAATAGACTCAGAATGCATCTGACCCCCTCACTCATCCTCCTCCCATCCACAGTAGCATTTCACATCCCAAGCAAAGACAGGACAAGTCCCTCTGGTTTGCTGATGAATATCCCTGTCTACACTGCTGTGCAGGGGCTGCAGATGCATTTTTATGGCCAGAGAGGCCCATTTTTCTGCCTCCACACTCTTGTGCCTGGCTTGGGGTATTCCAAAGCTGCTCTCCATGGATCCAAAGGTGGGTGCAGGAGCTGTATGGATGTCTCCCCTCTACTCCAGTGTGACTCCATGGTTCACAACACCCTTAGGCCAGGCAGAAGCCAGCTCCTCAGGACAGTCCCAACCACAGCAACATAATTATCCTGTTCTTCCATCCCAGCTCCATGAAGCTGCTGCAGGTAACATCATATCTGTCCTCACACCTCTTGCTAGTGGAAAAAACCTCCCACGAACAGCACACAAGCACTAGGTATCTCTAAGAGGTCATTAAATCTTATTGCCCAGGTTTTGAGCCAAGAATGCTGCACCAAAGTCAGATATGGGACCAACAGGTAATTTAACAAATGCAGTGAGGCCAGGAAGAATGCAGGTAAACTTCAGTGCTCCTGGCAACTGCAGCTGGCTCTGCTGTGGTGGGAGAGCTCCCCTTGGCTTTCATTCTTCCCACGGACTGCTCTGACATCAAGCCTCAAAAGCAGCTCTATAACCAGAGAGATCAGACTCTGAAACCTCTATAATCTATTTCTAATGGATTTGAAGGCCTGGTCACCAAGGCCTCAAACACAGATACCAAATTCCACCTGCTGCTCCAGTCTGCTGCTTTGCAAGTCATACAAGACTCATTCTAAGATAATTTGGGCCAGGTTTAGCTCACAAAACTCTGAAGTCAGCAGTTGGGAATAAGCAATTTATTCCACTAAAAGCTTCAATGCATTGGTACAATGCCCACGTGCAGTGAAGGCATCATCCTTGTCTCAGGAGCATCAGCCACCAACCTAAGAAAACTCCAATAGGAGCAGTTATGTCTACATAAATAAAACCATGCAAACCCCATCCTCGAGTCCCATATTCCAGTACTCAGGAATGTCAAAACTGAGGCAAAGCACACTGTCAGACTCAAAAACCCCAGTCCACGGGAGGACAAGCTAAAAATGGGAACTGGACAAAGACACACCACTTACTGAGGATAAAGAGAGACACTCCTCACACAAGGAGGTGCTGTTATCATGTCAGATCAGTGATCTGTAAAGGCCAGCAACACCTATGTCCACCAGCACCACTGTGAAAAAGTGCCACAAATCCCCTCCCTAGAGCCCTCTGATCCTTCTCATCCCTACAGCAAAGGCAGTAACATTATTCATCTTTTAGCAGCTCAGGTACCAAGAGACAGCAGCTTCCAGAGACAGAAACATCCTGTAACTGCAGCCTGAAGATGCCTCACTCCAACTCCAACCCAAGGGCAACCCCCACTGCTGCTCTGCTTTACAAGGATATGGGTATTTGCTCAGCAGAAGCCACTTGTGCTCCTTATCTTCACCCAAGCATGAAGCAGCACTCAGGCAGCCTCTAACGTCCTGTCTGGACTGGGGCTACAGGTACAGGACAGCCTGGTCCACTGCTGTCCCCAAGATCTTCATGCCTCTGATTGTTGAGGACATTCCTCTCAGTCTTACTGCCCCAGTAGCAGGAAGCTGGGAAGCTGTACTGGCTCTGGAAAAGAGGGAGCTAAAGATGTCAGCCACGTCTTTTGGAAAAATGATTACTGCCTTTCACAACCAGGTGTTTTGGAGGTAGAGTGTAGTTGTCAATTCCATTCTCTTTGCAAAGTCTTGGTCAGAAATACATTAAAAGGTTTGGCAGAAACACTATGCTCTAAGCCTGTGTAAACAAATATTTGGGGAAAATAAACTTCCTTCCTGAAGAGCTGTTATCTCTCACACACTAACTCTGCAGCTACTCCTGGGATGCTGTGACAGGATTCTGCTCACCAATGTCTTTCATGGGTTCTTTGGGCTCTTAAAACTTTGAGCTTGACAGAGCCACCCAAGGATCTGCTCAAGAGTGAAGAGATGTCCACAGAGATACAGAAGGGCTTGTCACTCTCACTTGGTTTTCTCACTTCCACATTTCCTGCTTTAGTTAACAGCAAGCTCAGACAGACAGGCTCAGGCCCCTTTGGGCACTTCTCACACCAAGTCAGCAGTGCCTGCTGAGACACAGGACGTGGTGCTAGAAAGCGCTCAGGGTGTTAAGAAGTGTCAGCCTGGAAGGCCCCAGGCCCTGGGCAGCCAATGACCCATTCCCAGCACAGGGACACAGGACAGCACCATGAACACTGTCTGCAAAGCCAGGCCACCATCATTCTGCCAAAGATCCCTCTATGTCCCATCAGCATCTGTGGTACCACCCCACTTCCACAGGCTCCAGCTCCCTGAAAGCAGAACCCAGCCTAGTTCCACTTGCAAGAGACTACATAAAAAATTATATATATTCTGTGCCTGATCCTCCCTACAAACTACACATTGACTCTGAAATTTACAGTCCCTTCAGATCCTAAATATTACTCCACACATCAGCAGTCTAAAGCCTTGAGCAAGAAAAGGCTGCTGGTTCGCAGGAGGGAGTGATCTCTAGATTCTGCTTAGCATCAGAAATCACATTAAATACTTCAGCAGGGGAAGCATGGAGTCAGTGGGGAGCTAATCTACAAGCCTGCAGAAGCTGAGTCAAAACTGAGCTGCCAGGGAGGCAAGTTGGGCTGAAGGTATTGTTGTATGCTTGCCCTCTGGAAAAGCCACCTCTCTGTCCATAGGCCTGTGAGAGGGCTGCTCCTGCCCCTGCTGAATATTCCCCTGCAGCTCAGTTTGGTATCTCACACTCCTTAATCGTTCCACTTTCCCTACCATGAGCACTCCTAGGAAACCCATCCAGCTGACACTTGTGACGGAACTGCCTTCTGCCTAATCCTGGAACACAAGGCCAAAAATTTCCACTTGATTCTTCCCACTCAGCCTCCCCTGACCCATTCCAAAAGCCTGTTCAAACACCTCCCCGCTCTTCCCATGAAAATATTAGCTTTGAGACAAACACTGCCATTAACATGCAAATGTATCTGTGATTAACATAAATAGAAAAACTGCCTCATGAATAATATTAGGCTGGAACAGTATCAGCTACCAGTAGCCAGGTTGCTGAGACATGACTAGTCAGGTACTAACAAAACCATTTCATAGCAGAGTTCACATTTCTAGATCTCTAAGGTTCTCCTCTGCCTCCACTGAATTCATCCATTCTCAGCACCCATATAGGACCAGCTCTTGGACACTGCTCCATTCACATCCTCCAGCCCCTGGTAGGCCTTTTCCACCCTTTCTTCCTCCCTGGAGGCAGAGGTGGCTGCTCAGCTCCATGTCAAGCTGCAAGGGAACACAAGAGGACACACTGGGCTTCACCAGCAGTGCTGGCTTCTCACACAACCGCTTCCTCCCCTTTGGGGAGAGAAAGGGAAAAAAGCAGATGGAAGCTGCATGTGAGCTGTCAATTGCATCTCACTGCGGATCAGGAACATGGGGAGAGAAAACTGAGTCTGCTGTTAGAACTGCCCCAGAAAGGTGGCTCCTGCACAGTGCAGGAACAAGCTTGCAGCCAAAGTGTCCCCTGCTCAGGGGCTGTGACAGTGCTCCAGGCCACTGCAGCTCCTGGGTCAGCCTGGCACCTTCCAGGCCTGCTGATGCCAGCAGCAGCTCCTCACCACCATGGCCTTCCTGCATGGAGCACAAGCCACTGCAGCCAAAACTGGTACATGGGAGTGATCAGGCATCACGGTGGGCTGGATTGTGGAGCTCATTGCCTCACTGCACGCTAAACCCCCACACACTTCCTTGTGAAGGGATGACTTCTTTTGGAGAGGCTGTTCCCAAAACAGGCTGAGGATCTACATGCAAACTCATGCCACCAGGGAAGGAATCCCAGCCTCTCACTTTGTACAAAACAGGACAGGGAGGGGCAGAGGGAACTGAAGGGGTGTGGAAACAACCCCACAACAACCACCAGAGAACCTCACATCTCAACTGCCTCTTCTGAACAGAACAACCTCTGACCAACAACACCCACATTCACTAAAAAACAATAAAAAATATTAGAACCAAAAGGATGTATTTATTTCACTGCAGAAATCCTGCTTCTAACAGCAAGTTAGTATCACACACATCTGGCTAATACCACTGCTGTCCCCTCTAATTTCCATATCTAAGCAGATCCCTAGAATTTGTCTCCTGCCTGGAAGCTGACCTCAGACCACACAGTCTATATTTAAGATGTCAACTGGAATGAAATGTGCAATTGTCTCTTGCCTTGGCCCATTCTCCTCCTTGCTGGGTTTGAAACCTTGCAACTCACCATCCCCTGGCAGCAGGTTTGGATGCAGCTCCTTGCACACAGAGACACACAGGCACATGGCATCCTCGTTTTTCACTCACAACCAGACACACTTCTTCAGCTAAATTCATTCCAGCCCAGCCCTCCCAGGCTTCAATGAAAAAGTGTTTTCCTTTTGTGCTGGAGTTAGATTTGGCCTTTTGTTTGGAAATACACTTGTTTTTATCTTGTCCTCTTCCCTCTCTGCTCAGTCTAGAATGGTTCACGTTGCCAAGGCACTCGATTTTTGCTACCTTTCCTCCTCAATGTGAGGCATCAGGACTGAGCGTGGCACACTCCCTCCAGCATGCACCAACACATGGCCCCATCACAGATCATTTCAGAGCACAGCAGCCCAGGCTGAGAACCGACAGCTTTCAGGGTATTCACTGTCGGTTCCTGCAGATTGTTCTACCTGTGCCAGGGAGCGAGGCTGCCATCACCCCCTCGGATCCTACAGCAAACAACTCTGTGAGTTCCCTTCTGGATGGAGCCGCGCTGGTCACAAGATCCCAAACACCTGCTGGGGTGGGGTAGAGCCGCTCCACTGAACGGAGCTACCACGCCGAACGCGACAGCTCTTCAGTATAAAAACACAACAATAAGCGAGGCTAAAGGAGCCTCCTCAAACTTTTCAGCACCCACTAAAGGTCCTTCAGCGAAGGAAGACCCCTCATCTCCCCGTGCGCCATCACGAAGGCCCCTCACCTACCCCAAATGCCACTGACAGCAGCACACTGGCGGCCGATATTCTTTGTTGCACGGATTTTAAAACCGCAGCGCCGAACCTTTGCCCGGGGTCGCTGTGAGCCCCCTTAGGGCATGGCCAGCAGCCCGGCCAGGGTCCCGCTGCGGCCCCCGCGCTCCGCAGCAGCCTCGGCCCGGCCCACGCTGCCACCGCCGCCTTTGTCACCGCACCGCACGCGGGGCGACAGGCCCCGGGCTGCCGGCGGGGAGCGGCCCGCGGCCGGGGGCTCCGCCGGGGGGATGCCGGACCCCGCCCGTGGCCGCTGGGGATGCGGACGCGTTCCCGGGCAGCGGATCGGGGACCGCCAGCCCCCGCTGAGGGATGCGGGGGGTGTGGGAGAACAGCACACCGCGGTGGGTCACGCGTGGACCGAGCCCGGGCCCGCCGCCCCTTTGTGCGCGCCGCGCCGGGCTCACCCTTGTGCATGCCGGTGTAGCGGTCCTTGAGCACGGTGAGCTCGTAGATCTTGCCGAACTGCTCGAAAAGCGGCTTGAGGTCCTTCTCCTCCAGGTTGCGCGGGATCTGCCCCACGAAGAGCTTGATGGCATCCAGGTCCTTCATGCTGTCGGGCTGCGCCGGGGGCTCCGCGCCGCCGCTGCTGCTCATGGGGGAGGCTCGGCGCGGCGGCGGCGGGGGCGGCTGCGGCGCTGGCGGGAGCGGCGGCGGCTGCCTCCTCGCCTCGCCCTCGGTGAGTCTGGCCATGCCCCGCGCCCGGCGCGGCTGCGGGCGGGCGGGCGGGCGGGCGGGCGGGGGAGGCAGCGCGGCGGGAACGGCCCCGCCGCCAGCGCCGCCGCCGCGGCGCCACAAAGAGCCGCGCCACAGCGCCCCCTGCCGGGCCCCGCGCCGCCTGCCGGGCCCTCAGGAGCGGGGGGCACCGGGGAAGGCACCGGAGCGGCCCGGGAACGGCCCGGGAACGGCCCGGGGAACGGCCCGGCCCGGGAACGGCCCGGGAACGGCCCTGGAGCGTCACTCGGGAGCGGCCGGCTGTGAAGGCTGTGAAGGCGGCAGTGACCGCCGCGATGCCCATGGCCGCGGGCGAGGGAAGAGCTGTGTTTTGAGGGCCCAGGGAACAGGGGAGAGCTGTGAGCACCCACGAAGGCAGAGCCGCTCCACATCCGTGTCAGAAATAAGCATTCGCCCCATTTTCTCGGTGCCTCAGCACCAGGGTTTGGAGGAGAAGAGATTATTTAAGGCAGAAAATTTTGCAACGCGGCCGTGACCCAGCGGCGAGCACCAGGGCCAGAGGGGATTTGGCTGGAAGGGGAAGTCATAGACCGGCCCAGATCTACAACCCCGGACTCATCTCTGTCCCTGCCCTTCGAGGGAAAATCCCCTTTCTTCCGAGCAGCTCAGCTCCCTCCTCACTGGGGCTTGGTGGAGGCATCCCCAGCCCGGTTCTGTGTCAGACCGTGCCAGATGGTCAGGAGCTGGTTGTGTATCCATGTCGAAGCAGCCATTATTGCTACCGGGATCAGCTCTCCCTCCCCGTGTCAGGCTCTGGATTGCTCTCCCACTGTTTTCTCCAGCTCCGGCAGATGCCGTGAGGCAGTGAGGGGATGTCAGCGCGGCCCAGGTGGCCGCGGGCTGTGTCACCTCTGTCACGCCAGGGTGACGCTGAGGCTCGGCGCAGCCCGAGCTCCATCCTGTGCTGCAGGGATGCCGCCCAGCCCTGCTCCGCCGCCCACAGCCACGCTCTGCCTGCATCTCCTACAGAGCATTCCCTCTGCAGCGTGCACGGCTTTTGTCGTCACAGCACACATTTCAGCCTGTCACGCTGCCCCAGTGTCCCTGAAGATGAATACACTCCTGCGCCCTCGTGCTGGGAAGAGGGAGGGGGTGCTGGCCGGGTTGTTTGCCGAGAGAGCAGAGTCAGGTGCTCAGCTCCACTGAGCATGCCAGCCTGTGCTTGTGAAAAGGACCGTGATGCAGGCACAGCCTGGCCTTGCTTCCCCTTGTGTAGTCTCTGCTGAGAGCTTTCTGCCATCCCCCTTTTCTCCTGCCCTGGATCCTGCGGAGGGAGGGCAGCAGTGAGTGGAGAGGTGACCCTACTACACAATACAGCCAGGGCAGCCACAGCTCTCTGCTCCCACTGCAGCCCAATCCAGCATTCTCTTGCCTGGTCCCCAAGTCCCATCCTTCCTCCTACCCTCTCCCCACAGTGCCCCACATGCCAGAGCCTCAAACCCTACCCAGATCTCTCAGGTGTGATTTTACCTAGGCCCCTGCACCAGGAGATACGTGCAGCAGGTCTCATGAAAAAGCAGGTTAGGAAAAAGGGGGAGTGTGTTATCAGGGGAAGAAGAGGGGTCCCAATCCTACAGAGCAGAGAGAAAAATGAAGAATACTGGTTGTGTACGAATACCCACCTGGCTCTCATGCTGAGGTCATGGCAAGAATGAAAGAGGTCCCTGCAGAACCAGAGGGATTGGGGATTCCTTTTCACTCTCATTCTCAGCAGAGCTACAGCTCTGTACCCTGCTCTCTGCAGCATTGGCTGTTGTGCCCAGCTGTGTGTGGAGCTGCCAGAACACTCACTGAGGGCCACCAGGAGCCTGGAATTTGCATCCAGGCTTTTAATGGAAATGGACTCACAAAGGCCTGCAGCTTTCTGCAGCCTGGTCTGAACCCAGGGATGCTGCAAGGTGTCTCAAGGCTGGAGAGCTGTCTTGTGTTTGATGGTGTTACCACTCCTAAAATTCACCCTAAAACCCTCCAGAATCTCCCCATGCTGGTCAAAATTTCTGCTAACATATCTTACAGAGCCTGCCAGGGTTCTGCCATCTATTTGGAAGCCAGATCAGCTGGGAAGCCTATGGCAAGTCAAGCTGCTCTCATTTTTAACAGCTGCAATATAATTAA